TCTCCTCCCCCTCTCTCTCTCTCTCCCTCTTACCCGTTCGCTCTCGCGTGCGCTCCGACGCGTGTGGGAACCAACATGCGTGTTCGTCCAGGTAGCACGCGGCACAATGTGTTGGTGTTGTGGCTTGGCTGTCGATGTCGGAGCTTGGACACAGATAGGATGTGGGTCGGTCGCTAGCTTCGCTCTATACGAGCGACGCGGAGAGTCGCGCATACCACGAGAGCTTCGTCCCTTACCGCGTTTACATATGATAGAAGCGGCTTTGCGCGATACCGCGCGCGAGCGGTACCAGCGGAGAAACGGCGGAGATGCAAACGAAGGGAAAGAGAGAGAGAGAGAGAGAGAGAGAGAGAACGCAAAAGAAAAAGTGAGAGAGAAGAAGAAGAAGAAAGGGAAGAGAGACTCGAGACCGCGCCTTGCCCACGCGCGAACGTGGAGCGCTCGACCTCGCGCTTTCAAACTCTTCGTGGTCTCGCTTCGTAGATGAGCTACATACCTAATTGCCGGAGAATACACGAATGCCCCTCCCCTTAATTTTAACGCCCGCTCGCTCATGTTAGCAACAGCGTACGTGATTCGTCGGGAATATAGTGCATTTTTACTCACCCGTGTGTATCCGCTGATGGGCCTTCAGGTGCGAGCTCTTTGTGTAAACTTTCGTACAACCTGTAAAAAGATCGGGATTTCAATCGGTCAATCGATTAAAATGAAAAGTGAATTTGAAGAAGAGTGAAATCGGAATCTTAAATAACACATTTGATTAGCACGTATGTCTGAGAATTTCCAGTGCGCTTTCAATTCTTCGAATAATAATGCTATTATTAAATCAAGTTTGTATAATGTTTAATTCGCGTAAAGCCTTTCTTCTTCGATCGCATGAGATTCAGAAATAATCGGTACTTTAATAGTTTTCGAAGAAAAATCAAAACTTATCGTTACAGAATTTGTCGTTCATTATTTTCCGAAGGAATAAATGCCGCAAAATTAAGGATTGAGGATCGAAATAATGAAAAGGGTCGCGTTTCGCGCTCACCTATGAAATCGCAGTGGTGCACCCGGCGCTTTTCCAGCTCCGGGTTATTCCGCCTGTTGAACTTGTTCGACATCGACGGCTGGATCCGATGCGCCGGATTGAGGATCGGGCCCGGCTGCGGATACGGGGGTGGCGGCGTCCGTCTGGGTGGACCGGCGCCGATGGGCGAACCGGGATCGGAGATCGGTGGCGTCAGCGGCGAAATATACATCAGCCTCGTCATCGAGCCGTAGAGCGGCGACGTCGCGTTGCCGTTCGCTTGATGATGACTCGTCGTCGACGAGTCACTATTGCCGCCGTTGTTGCTGTTATTATTGTTGCTGGCGCCGTTGCCGCCACCGTTATTGCTACCGGCGTTATTCCCGTTCGTATTATTATTATTAACAGACCCGTTGTTGTTGTTATTGTTATTATTGTTGTTGGAAAAGTTCTTGTAGAGCGCCGTCGTGCCCGTCGTCGTCGGCGTCGTTGTTCGATGATGCACGTGCTGAACGCTGGAGGGATTCGGAAAGGGATTCTGCGCGGAATTCGCGGCCGGCCCTTCGAGAAGATGCAGGGTCGGCGGTGGCGGCAACGGCTCCGTCTTGATCTCGACCGGTGACAGGACCGGCGGCGGCGTCACGTCGTCCGTCTCCATCTTCACGTGGGACTGCGAGCCGAGCATGTTCGCGTTCTCCGGGTCCAGCTTCTGAATGCTCGACGTGATATCCTCCCAGAGCGGCGGCCTGAGGAAGACGTCATCGTCTTGGCCGACGCCCGCCGCCGGCTGACTCCTGGGAACGAAGCTGGCCTGCGGCGGCCGACACACCGCTGAGTGGGACCGCCGACCTCGAAGAAGTCCTCCATGTGCATCGACGACGGCTCCCGCGTATCTCTCGCGTCCGTCTCATCCTCGTCCAGCCTCTGCAAACGATCGAGGTCCTGCCTGCACAGCAAAGTGTCCAGATCCGACGTCTGCTGGGGGCAGAAAGAAAAGAATTTGTCATGTATAACTTTATGGGTGTAGCATTATTTTTCGTATAGATAGATTAAACTTCTTTGTGTTGCTGAATAATTTGAATTGTTAAATATTAATTAATTAATACACTGAATTTTTCAACATTAACAATAATAATAATAGGTACACAAAGCTTTGCAGAAATAATTTGCCAAGAAAGCATTTTCGAATATAATGAATAAAACTCTTTTGTTTAAAATAATTCTATTCGATCCTAAGCTAGCGCGTTTTATCATTTAATTATCTTATATAGAATAATATATCATTTAGCGTGCAAAACATTGAGGGCAATTTTATCGTAATCGTTTTTATTTATCATATCATTAATTATCGTTATATCATTAATTATCATTACGATTTAATTATGATAACAAGAAACACGCTCTATTATAACAATAATTATTATTACTATTATTATAATTAATACTGGCTTCCACTAGCGTGATTATTAATAAAAAATCCACTCAAATTTTAGAAATAAATAACAAAAACTTATCTAAAATAAATTCTAAATTATTTTTTTTAATTTTATTACTTATCATAATTTTCAAAGTATCAAAAATTATGGAGCAAAAATGAGGTTAATAATCTTTTGGGAAACAGTATCGGTGAAAGATTCGTAAATGTCATTATCCATCCTGCGAAAATAAATCTCTTGGGAGCAAATAGACATTACACACACAGAATATCAGTAGTAGCAACACTAGTGATGCACATTTTGTTAGCTAAAAATGATTTTACAGCATTTAGCGCGATACAATCGGTCGAAGCTCCGATCGATCTAACGTTAAGGTTGCAAACGGCGCATATGCTAAGAAAAAGGGGTGGAGGAGCGAGTGACTTGCGCGGTGTATGATGATACGCGGCGAAGGGGCCCCCGGGTCGGGCCCTGTTAACATGCACAACGCCGTCTCGCCCTACGACATCCAGCACGCGCGAGGAGAAGCGACGGAAGACGAAATGCGGGAGGCTGGCGATGCCGCGTCATCCTTCGCATGATTTGTACACGAGCAACGCCGCCCTCGCGTCCGATAGTACACCGCTCGCTCATTCTATCCCCCTTTTTCTTTCTTCTCCCTCGTGAAAAGACGACGAATGCCACCTCGGTGTAGCGCGTGTTTGGCGCATAACATTTCGAGGAGTTGTACAAGGACCTCTGGATCGACCCAGCCTCATCCATCGACGGCCGATGGCAGGGTTGATATTGTTCTCGCGCCGGAAATGTGCGCCGGTATTGAAAGGAGGATTGAAAGAATTTTATATATACATGAAATGTCGATATATATGAAATCCCCAGACAAAGAATTCAACAAAACGTCAAAATTGAAACATTAATGTAAAATTTATACAATTAAAGATGTATTTATATAAAACGAGAAACGCCTCTCTTACGTGGAGCAGTTACAAACTTGAAAGAATATTTGAACGTTACAAATTACATTCTAATGTTTGACACATTAAAATCTTTTAATTTAAAGCTATTGTAAGTTTGTAACTATTCCAAGTGAAAGAAATGTTTTCCGTTTTGCAAAAGTACATATTTCTGTGACGAAAAAATATATATTTTAGTTTATAAGTTAAAAATTTCTAAAATGTGTACTTGAAATTAATATTCATATGCTAAATTGACAAAAAAAAATTATTATAAGCCGTATGCATGGATTTTCAAAAAATATGACGGTTTAATTAGCCCAAATTGCGAAGATACGCTTGCAGATTTGTTCAAAAATACTACATGGCAAACTTTCGGATTTTCTGCTCGTGCAGCTTGCAGAGCTCGTAATTATTTATGAATTATTTACACAATGAATAATTCATCGTCGAAAGATTGGTACACTCGCGACACTCGATCGTACCTGATATGCAATTTGAAAAGCAGTTTGCGTGCGCGAGGTCCGATCGTGCGCGAAACATTATACTTAAAAATTCACATCTTGCGTATGTGCATCGTGTCGACAAACAATAGCATCTCGATCGCGAAGAATTCGCTTTTGCGCGAAAAAATGAATGAAAGAATTTGTGGTAAAGTCAAAACCGTTCGTTTCAATAAAAAATCATAGAAAATTATTCAATCATAGATAAACCTGTGCTATTCTCGATAAAAAGAGATATCATCTGGTTCGAATTCAAACTCTCCGAAGTTATATTTGAAATTGCGGTTTAAAATGACAAATAAATCAAACGTATTAAAAATGCACGACTTTCGCAACGCAGCATAAATTTTATAGCATCTAACATACATTTCTTTCAAAATTTTCCTTCAGTTATTGCAGGCAAATTGATAGCGTAATCAATTGGAATGTTGAAAGTACGATCCTCCCTCGCTTTATCCTTTAAGCGCGTACTGCTGACTCGAACGTTTTCAACGTTTTAATAAAATATCTCGGGCCGAGCGTTACATACGAGATTGATAAATATGTTTGTTCGAGACAAATGCGAGAGTGTGTTTCGTAATTTTCTTTCTTAATCCATCGGGTCCCACCGTACGATGGGGCCTGCCTCTTTTCTTATGGTCTTCACGTCATCCGTCTCTTTCTCGCGCTTCGATGATAATGATAGTGCGGAGCGCGAGCAAAGTTCGTCCATCCGGCTATTAATGCGCGTAATCATAGAGCCAGGGTCGCCGGTGTTAATAATGCGTTTTCGAATCTGTCGGAGCGAGAACGGACACCCACGCTGCGTCGATACTGCGTCATCATTATGCACGTATATATGTATTCGTATGCGTGCGTCTGTGTACGTACGCGTGCACTCCCACCCACGCATTCGTACGCGTGCGAGCGCAAGCGTACGCTGCTTGATTATTCCAGTCGATCGCAAGCTGATTTGTCGATCGCGCATCAACAACAAGAACGACGATGGACATCATGATTATCCTCGGAAAAGGAATTATTATTTTTTCTCGACTAGCGAGCTAATACATTCAGTTATATGATATATAACAATCCGTTCTCTTCCAGCTCGATTAGCATGCGTTTAATGATTCTGAAGCGTGAGGACTTTTCTCGCTTCAGTTTGCTCCGGGATTTTATTAGCAGCATTGTATGACAGCGCAGAAAACCGCGAGAAGCGGAAGGAATAAAAAAAAATTGAAAGCGGTCGGGGAACAGTAGAAATAGTCTATCGTCGTTCGATGCGAGACTTACAGAAAAGCGTAAACAATCTGTTATGTTAAATCCAATTCATAATTTTATATCTAATCTACAATATAAGCTGTCTAGCATCTCGAGCTGAAACATCGGTGTAAATTTGAAGCGTCTGTATCTTTGCGCGAGCTTGATAAAAATGTAACGAGAAATTTGATTAAATGCACCTGTTTATCAGATTGCGTAATATCTAGGGCGCACTCGATACGGTGGTTGCGATAACACGTGCAAACTACTCGAGTCGTACCTCATAATTATATCGGAAGCGAATCGCCGACTGAATTTATCGCGATATGGCGCGCGATAAACGCGACGAGGAAGATGGATGAATAGAGAAACCGATGTGGACGCGACGCGACGCGAGGCGACGCGACGCGACGCGGCGCGACGCCATGCTGCTCGCGGCTGCAAGAAACGCAGCGCGCAGAAGCAAGTTCACCGAATCAATCTGGGGAGGCCACACCCTCTGACCTAAAGCCACATTATCACGATAAACGCCCAGGAAAATGTCAGCCACGAAGCCGCCCCGAAATGTCCTCGCGCGCGCGCGAGCAAACTCGCCGAAACACTTATCGTCGCCTGCGCCGCCGCGAATTCGCGGTTCAATAACGCGGTCGCAATCACGCTATCCGCGTTGAAAAGAATGTGTTCCCGAAGCCAGGAGGATGTTCACGATTTGTCATATTTCTCCACCGGTCGATGTGGTCTGACCTCGATAAAGCGTCCGCGGCCTCGAGGGTGGCGAGTGCGGCTTCGAGGTGGCTACAACCACCGCTTTCAGCATGAGAAACTTTCGGATTCTTTACAGGCGCTACGATAATTTCAAGACAAATCAGGATATCTGCGAAGAATTAAGAAAAAAATTGTCCAAGAATTTGTTTAATGTCAAATATATTAAATTCAATAATGTGCCACATTTAAGAAATGAGAGCCAAAATCAGCTGATCGCAAAATAAAATCCAAACCGTTGAAAAAATATTTTCAACAAAAATTCGCCGAGTCGATAAAATTTTGTGAAAATTCTAGATATTATTTCTCCAAATACCAAATACATATCCTGCACTAATTTTTGCGATTATTGATCGACAATTTATTATAACCGTAAATCAGTGATGTGCAAGAATATCCCACAACTCGCGAGTTTAATTTTCCGGATTCTCGGATTGGAAATATGTAATCGATTTTTCTTTAGCGCGGCAGAGACAGGATGCGCAGTATCAAAGGTCCTTCGCATTCTCTGTCTCCTCTTCGAGAGGGCTGTACATCCGTGGCGTGGCGCGGCGCGGCGCGGACACGCAGATTCTATCTCTCGTCCATTCAGCCGCCTAGGTAATAAAACTCTCGCGACCATTATTTACCCGCATTATCGTTACTTTACGCCCACGCGGACGCGCCGCGTATTTATGGTGAAATTATTCAGCATCATTTCGCGGATATGAATAAGATGATGGTGGGAGATAACGGCGCTCCGCGCGCGCCATGCGATACGCGCGCGATTCGCGAAATCTTTCAGGCGGAAAGCGAGATCGCGCTTCCGCGAGGGGATAATCGGACACGATACCGACGAAGATCCGATCGATCGTAGACGATCTTGCGCAATTGCCGCCGTTGGGCTCGCACAGAAAAGGAGGCACCGAATTCAACCCCCTTTTTCGCTTCGATAAGCGAATCATCATCGACACTATCGCCGCGTGACGAGATTACCGCAGGCGATATTTCGGCCAATCTGCTGGAAACCCGCCGGAGCGGCGGCCTATCGGCTAAAAGTAGCGGAGCGAAAGGGGTCGAGAAAGGGGAGAAAATCGATTCTCGGA